AACCCAAACCAATGAAAAGAAACCTGCGCAATGGGATGGGCAGCCGAGCAGAGCAGAAACCCCTCGCTCAACCTGCATCCACATCCCCCCGCAAGAAACATCAGGAGGAGGCCTTCGCGGAGAGCGCGCTGCTGGGCTGCGCCTTCTTCACCGCCATGGGCGCCGTGCGCAACGCCGCGCTGCTGCGCGCGGGGCAGTCGGTGGTGGTGCTGGGGGCCGGCGGGGTGGGCCAGGCGCGGGCGCTTCGAAGTTCGGAGTTGCCCGGGTGCAGAGCTGGGTGTCAGCAGTGGGGGCAGGCACCAGATGGTAATCATCCCATTCACCTTCCCAGGGCTCAGCCCTGTAAGCCCTGGAAGAGCGTGTTGTGTTTATGGCTAGTTTGTTCAGTCCAGTTTTCCCTCAAACCTCCACTACCTTTGGCAAAAAGGCATTGTTTCAGTAGTTGCTTTTAAAAGAGGGTGTTCCCCGCTCCCAACCAAAGTGCGGAATCACGCTTGTCGGTCTAGTATCTGCGGTTCGAACATTCTAATGAAAATCAGTTAAGGGCTTCAGGGTGCAACCCATTTTCCCCGACCTCCATATTCAGGCACTATATGTGCAGGTTTGGATTCTACTGGGGAAGCAGTCCTTTGGGACACCAAGAAGATAGCCAGGCACGGTGGTCTAGACATTCCTGTGCCTTATCGGTCAGTCATCTATATATTTGCTAGTTGACTCGACACATGGCACTTAGACACAACAGCAGTCATTGTGGAGAAGCCGGATTACCTGATCTTTGCTTCCCTCGGATACTTAATTCATATCCTTTGTCACATTCAGTTTCCTTGACAAAGTCAATCATGGCTTTTTGAATTGATGCTTCTCTTGAATGTTATCCTTCGCTAGGGGAAGTCGGAAGGAGATCCACAACCCGGGAGGGTCCCTCATGTTGAGACAAGCCCATATTAGGAACACCCTGCCTCAGTCATCGTCGGTGGACGTGAATCCCATCATAGATGAATCTACTTGCAGAGGGCCCTAAATCAGAATATACGTCAATATAATGGTGCATCCCCCCTTCCCCTTGTTTAAGCGAGTCCAGCCAATAGGTGCCTTGCTTTGGAATCACTTTATTCTCTGTTTGCGTTGCGTGTTATCCTGCATGTTCCCTGTTCAGTGGCAAGTTGTTGGTTTAACCAATTCTTTTGGAGGCTGTGTGTTCTCCCTCAAGCTGGAGGTGCTATCTGTTGGCCTGAAAACTGGCCAAAGTTGATCTTGTCAAGTTGACTGGCAGGGGGTGCTGCAGCTGGCAAGGCATTTGCAGGCGAAGCCCATCATCGCGGCGCCTGGGCTTGGGGTGCTTTTGTTGTTGTGGTTGGAAGAGTGGGAGGCTTGGAGGTTGTGTAGCTGTATTGATGATCATCGGCTCGGAGGTCGACATCAGCGACGAGGCGCTTGCTTTGGCCAAAGAGTTTGGTGCAGACCACTGCATCAACGCCAAGAAGGAGCGAGCGAGTTGAGAGATGAGATGCCTAAAATGGAAGACCCCAGGGGAACAAGCAAGCAAAGCTTGGCAAGACACCGAATTCACTCGGCCAGTTTGATGTGTTCGCAGGAGGACGTGCTCGAGCGCATTGCCGCTTTCACAGATGGCTACAAGGCCGACCTATGCATCGAGGTGATTGGCTCCAAAGTGACCTTTGAACAGGCGGGCTGCGGAAAAATCAAGCAAGCCCCTCCGCTTCCCGTTTTGCTTTCTTGCTCCGCAAGCCACGTCAAAGGTCCTTACGTAACCCCCTTGTTGAGTGATTGAGCTATCACCTTCCATGAAATGCTCAAATTTAAGGAGATTTCTTTTGTTGGTTGGGGAGGGGCATGGCAAGGAACTCTGTCTTCTGTCTGTGTGTGTGTGTTCAAATAGAAGATCATATCTACGAACACACTATATGCACTGAATGCAACGGGGTACATAAATGCAATAGGAAAATCGGGGCCAGTCCTAAGCCGGGCCTTTGAGCCAATACCTGGACCTTCCGGGGGTCCAAAATTTTAGGCGTTGGCAAAACAACACGTGTTTTTTTGCCTTTGGTGTGAAACAATGCTTTTAGGGCGAAAACGCCGGCGGTCATATTTGTTTGCACCGCAGTCGGGAATGCTCGCCTGTTGGTCGGGATTTTTTGCCAGTTGGTCGGGAATTTTCGCCTGTAGATTCGGGGAGATTGCGCTTAACACCCAAATTGATCAAAAACTGGCCGTAGGCAAAAAACACGCGCAATTGCCCCAAAAAGCAATTCGTAGCGAAAAGGCGGAAATTTTCAGTATGCAGGAAGATCCAGTTATGTATATAATATATTTAGTGGTTGGGGATTAGCGAAAGGAGCGCGAAAGGACTGCAAAGATGGCGAATACAGAAAACAAATACACAATGTGTTTGTGGCGTTCTCGCTGTTGGTGGCAAGACAACTTTTTCCTCCTTTTGGGTTTTCGTGGATTTACGCCGACGAACCTGAGTTTCACCGACGAAATCTGCGAAGGAGCGCAAAAGGGCGAGCTCCCAAAGTGGGGCCC